ATGCAATGATTTAGTACTCTGAACTATGCAGAGATCAGCCTGAAGTGACTTGAAACGATGGTTTAGCCCCTTAGCCACCTCTTTCAGAAGAGCTGTTATATTTGTTGAAAGTTAAGTGGATGAAATGTATTGAGTTGACTTTAATATTCATTACATCCAGTCAAAAATCTATCTGTATTTAAATAGATTCAGAGCATTCTTTTATTCTAGTAGTGTGTCAGTATTTTAGTATAGAACAATGATGCTGGTGACATTGTTTTATACTTAAAAATAACCATTTGATAATAAAGTGTTTGACAAATTGAATATGGCCTTTATGTGTGTCTATACAACATGTTGTGGAGTACTCATCTTTGGAAGAAAACAATGAAGAAGATGAGGGAATGAAAATGGTTCTATTTTTAAGAAGTTTTTCTGGCTTAGTTATTTAGAGACCTTTTCCAGACAAAATGAAATTGTTCTTTTACATTGTATGGTTCAGATTGTATGAAACAAATATTTCTGGAGTTTAAAAGATGGTTTAAGTTTATTTTTTTCTCTTCACTGTAGATCTTAGGAATGCCCAGGACTGATGCACTGAGACATCAACAAAACTCTTTTTTGCAAGTAAGCAGTATGGTTTAGTGTCTAAAACTCAGGCCTAGAAGATCTGGGCTCAGCCACAGACTGTACAGGAACAGGCATAATTCCCCTCTGTGTTCACAACATTTTGTTTCCTTACACATTGAGAGATTGCCTTAGTTAATTCTTGCTTAAATGAACTTTGTCCATGGTTGGCAGAGCATCAAAGACCATAGGATGAACACATCTGGTGTATTTTGGTGAGTCGGTAGCCAGGTCAGATCTGACACAGTAGAACATGACATGGAGACAGGAGTAAACTAAGAGAAGAAACATTTGTTCCTCAGAGAGATCAACATTTTGCAAGATTTCTCTTTGCCACCAAGCTGCACAAAGAAACGGCAGATATACAGGTATTGTCTTTAATGTATGCTGTGGGAAAGCAGGCAGAGCATACGTTTAAATCCTTTGACTTGTCTGAAAACAGTCACAAAGATGACTGTGAAAGGGTTCTCTGAATGTTTGATGCATACTTTATACCGCAGAAAAATGTGATTTATGAAAGAGCATGTTTCACCAGGGAATTCAAGCTCCAGAGGGAAATAGTGAATGTTTCAAAAGAACTCTGGATACATTGGCTAAAAACTGTGATTAAGGGAATGCAAAATGTGAAAACATGAGAGACAAGCTGGTTATTAGGTTAACAGATGAAAACTGTTCATAGCAGCTACAAATGAAGGGAAATTTAATACTCCCCGTATCGCTACAGATAGCAAAACAGGCAGAATTAGTCAAACAGAGCAAAGGCAGGAGCAACTTGAAGCTAGCTTAGAAGGTATCAACAGATACTTGAGAATTAAAAGTCATTATCATAAAACCCGTGAGGCAAGGAGAAAGAACTCCCAGACTAAAGGAGACAAATTCCATCCTACATGCACAAGGTGATGCATGTCCAACCAGAAGCATACTGAATGTATGATCTGTGGACATTCTGTAGCTATTTGCCACTTCAAAGCTGCCAAGAAGTTGACCCACATTACAGACTGTCAACAGCCGTTGTATCTGGGACCTATCTCTTTGCAATGACATACAATCGGCCTGGAAAGTGGGGTGAAAAAAAATCAAATCTTCATGACAATTCTATTGACTTAAAAAACGGAATCAGAAGCTGAATCACAGTCATCTTAGAAAGGGCTTACAATCACTGTGGACCTCTCCCAGAGGTGAAGTCATCTGATACAATTCCAACTAACCCTGGAGGCTTTCTGAATTGCATGGGCCAGTTCATCCCAGAAACAACTGATAAAATACAAAGGCTACACATTCAGGGGGCATGAGATCAAAGACCAACAACCTTTTCAGCTGCAGTGTGACAGCCAGGATGGGTCTAAGGAGAATCATGGAAAAACACAGAGGATTTGATGACACTGGAGTTTTGAAAGGAGATCTAGTACAAGTCATCTTAACAGATAATGTGGAACCACACAGTGGCTATGTCTACACTGGCGCGATCTTGCTCCAGAAGTATGCAAATGAGGCTAAGCATGGAATATCCATGAGCCTCATTTGCATATCTAATGAGCCGCCATTTTTGCGGAAGAGGCTCTTGCGCCAGAAGGAGCGTCTACACTGCCGCTTCTTGCACAAGAAAACCCCTCTTGCGCAATGCCGTTATTCTTGAAAATAATCAGCGTAACAGCATTGCGCAAGAGGGGTTTTCTTACGCAAGAAGGGGCAGTGTAGACAGCTCCTTCCACAAAAATGGTGGCTCATTAGATATGCAAATGAGAGTCGGCAATATTCCACGCTTAGCCTCATTTGCATGATTCTGGCACAAGATCACACCAGTGTAGACATAGCCAGTGTGCAGACACCTCTACCAGAGAGATTCTCAACATACCAGCTGATGAATTTAGCAAATTCAGAGGACATGATTACCTGGTCATCATATTTCCCCAAATGTATAGAAATAATGTACTCAAAAGAGAACATGTCACAGTGTTATCAGGAAATTGAAGTGCACTTTTGCTCATTTTCAGATTCCAGAAGAAACTAGTGACAGACAACAGACCATAATTCACTGCAGGAGAACTGAAGTTATTCCAAATGAAACATGCTTTTGATCACATTACTAACAGCCCAGATTACCCACAAGTGAATAGAGGGGCTGAGAAAGCTGTTCAAAGAGCAAGAAAATCTTGCAGCATGAAGAGCCATGCCTTGCCCTTCCGAGTTACAGATCAACACCAATCACTGTTATTAGGTACAATCCAGCACAACTCCTAATGGGAAGATGACTCAGAACTAACTGTTTAAACTTTGGAAAAGAAACTCTCCCCCAAGAGGATAGAAGAGAGTATCTAAATCTACACAGCTCCTTTTTGCGCAAAACACCCCTCTTGCACAAGAGCCGGTCTTCCTGAAAAAAAGCGGAAGAACGGTTCTTGTGCAAGAGAGGGGTAGACAGCTCCTTTTTGTGCAAAAGCCTCTTGCGCAAAAATAGAGCCTCATTAATTATGCAAATGAGGCATGGTGAAAGTCCACGCTTTGCCTCGTTTGCATATTTTTTTGCGCAAGAGAGGGCAGTGGAGACGTAGCCCTTGATTTCACCAGGTATCTTCCAGCGTAGCACACTCCAAGCAAACGCCATTGGGAATTTCCTCCTACTGACCCTGGAAGTGAGACAAAATGGACTCCATTTACTAGGAATATGTGACCAGGTCAATGGCAAAAGGAAACAAAGATGGTGCTACTAAGAAAGGAATTGCATAAGAATACAGAGAGATGCAAAACAATCTATACTGAATTCATTTGTAAAATAACATGGTAAGCCCAAGTCAGTACTATTCCTATTACTCCATTAAGGGTATGTCTACACTGCTGGCTTTTGCCGGCATAGAGTATGCAAATGTGGCTCTCATTAGCATTTGTCATGCTGTCATTAGCATATTCTCTGCCTGAGGCTTTTTGCTCAAGAGTTTTTTGCACAAAAACAAGCAGAGTAGACGGCTCTGTTTTGCGCAAAAACTCCCTTTTGCTCAAGATCCTTATGCCTCAAAAAAGGAGGTATACAGATCTTGCGCAAAAGGCAGGTTTTGCGAAAAACGGATCTGTGTACACTCTTGTGCAAAAAGCCTTGGGCAGAGAATATGCTAACAACAGCATGACAAATGCTAATGAGTGCTTCATTAGCATATCCTCTGTGGCCAGCAGTGTAGACATAGCCTAAGACTTTCTTAAAACATCCTTACAATTCACGGGAAATAGACGGTTCATCTTTTGGGTTCCAGATGCATAAAGTATTCTTGGTCCTTAATCTAGCCAAATACTTCAGCCCACAGGGCTTAAAGTTCAGGATGTATTTAAATGGTTGGCTGGATCAAGACTGTACCACTGTGATAGGCAACCAAAGCCATGTGAATACCCCTTCTTCATCTCAGTGGGCTGCAAGATTGAAGTCGGGCATGTGCACTAACCACGACCCCAAGAATAAGGTTAAACACAGTGTTCTGCATTCTCCACCTTTGTCAGGCCTTTTCAACACCAAGCGATCCATTACTGGGGCAAATTAAATTGCTGGCAAGAGTAGCACAGAGAAGCAGATGGAGCACCCATCTCTCACAATGTTGTGGGCCATCAGCATGCCCTGCATATGTGCCCTTGCTTTAAATGAGTGTCACGTCTTAACCCTTCCCCCCCACACTCTACCCCTTCTCTCAGCCCCCCCAGCTTCTTCCCTGCCTCCTCCCTCAAGCATGCCCAGTCCCAGCATTTCATGGAGCACTGTGATTCAGTTGATTACAGCCCTATCCTGGTTCCCCCCTCCCTTCCAGAGCTTGAATACTGTGAATCATGTCGCTCACAGTGCTCCGGAAGTTCTGGAAGGGAGGGGGAGGTGTAGCCAAGTGCAGGGCCCCCAGCACACAAGAGATGTGGGGGAAGGGGGGGGCGGTTGCACGGGTCACACGTAGAACCCTGAGAGGCCGCATGCTGCCCGCGGGCCGCAGATTGCCCACTACCGCTACACAAAGGTTCAACTCCGTGGGCAAGCACGGTTTTAAAACAAACCTGTGTGGGCAGTCTAGGGGGCCAGTGTTGCAGCTTACACTGTGCTATTTGTGAGAATGACTCCTTTGGACACAACATTTCCACCACTAGGTATCCTTCAGTCATTGCCATTGTTAATTTCTTTTGTGGAGAGGGCTGACATCTTCCACATTAAGAACATTACGGGAGCATGAGAAGAACTGCTAAGAAAATCAAGGAAGAAAGCACAGGAGATGCAGCTGCCATGAACTGCTGCAACTGGGGAGGAGCGCGAGATAATCTGACAAGAAACAACATCTGACAGTGAATGAATTTGCATTCATTTAGGAATTTGCAAAGCACATCTCAAGCTGATTGACATTACTACTTGCAAGGAAATTCAAGTCACTTACGACTTTAGCAGACGGCTCTGGCCTTTAAAAAACATTTTAGCGTGGATTAACTCTTTGGGAGTGCTGAGGTGGATTTAGTTTCCTTTAAGAAGGAAGAGAAAAATCCAAATTAAAAACAAAGTATTTAAAAACTAAATAGAAAAGCAAATCTACTCTAGGGCAAATTAAAGACTTCCACATTTTTAAAAACAATGAGTAGTCCCGTAGCACCTTAGAGACTAACAAATATATGTTTGTGTCATGAGCTTTCATGGGCACAACTCACTTCTTCAGAGGTTTTAAACCAGTCAAGAGTGCTAAAAACAGAGAGTAGCTTCTAGATATAAATGCAACAATGTTTACTAATTCCACTTTAATTCAGTTAGACGGCAAACCAAGATTATTATCAGCAAAACAATGAGTGATAACTATTATTCTCCTTTGAATACATTGCTCTTGAAAAGAGAAGAAACTAACACCTTGGGTTCTATTTTAGTCATATTCAATGCACACTTATTTTGGATAAAATACGTAAAGGTTGAAAAGGGTCTCCCTCTCTGATATTTATATAATTCATAAATCAGAAGCACACAATGGGGTACTGGCTTCCCTTCGTTCTCCTCTCTGAATTCACTGTGTGCCACTCTCTCATTCATGCCCCTCTATTTCAGCATCTTACTGGAGCACAACCCACACACCACAGCTCCTTTTCCATATGTTTTTGATTTCCAGTTTCATGGAGCTATTTTAAAAGTTGTTCTTCAGCTGAGGTCGGGGGGTGCAGCAGCACCACAGGAAGGAGCAACATTTGCGGAGCACACGCTGTGATGAACGATGGACTGGAAAGATGGGTGGCAGCAGCAGCTCAGTGGATAACCAGGGATGGGACTAGTCGATTTCTCAAGCCACTATGAGAGGGGCTGCAAAATACTGGGCACAAAGTGTCATCCTGTGGCCCTCTGGGAAAGAAGATTCCTTCTCCCAAGCTTCATGGCCATGTCCAGTGCACAGCCTGTTTACCTGAGGGACTGGGCTGCCAACAGAGGGCTGGGAACATAGGGGTTAAGGGGACAGCCAGCCCCGGGCCTGGTGATTTAAAAGAGCCCGGGGTTCCTGCCCACTGCCAACGCTAATGTGGCAGCAGCGGCTGACAGAGGACTTGGCCCTTTAAATGGCCACCAGAGCCCAGGAACCCCTGAAGGGCTATCTGGCAAAGGCAAGCTCCAGCCCAGCCCCTTCTACATGAAGCCCTGCCCCCTTCCCAGTGCTCGGCAAATCTGTCTGCAGCCTCGCTCAACACATTGTCAAAATCTGGCCCCTTTCTGGCATGAGACATTTTTCAAACCATGTCTATTTTCTCTTATTTCCATTCATGTAGGCTGGCATTCTGAGCTTCAGGTTTGATTTTTTTTCTTTGAAATATTGGGCTTGCTCAGATTTTCTCCTGGTTTCATGCCCAAGCTATGGAAAATTGTGAATTTATTATGATGACGCCATAGGGTTGCCAACACTGACATAGAACAAAACTCCTGGGACACCATGAGCCCGTAAACCTGGACAGCTGACAGTCTGCAGCAAGCACTCTTACAAATTCCCCTGGGTAACTACCTGACAAAAAGTAGACTCTTGGGAAAAACTGAACTGGTGGCAACCTTATGTAATAGCCAGAAACTGCCCTAGCTACTCAAAAAGCTTTTAAGTGTCACCTGAACCTTACAGCCAAATGGATCAGTACAATAATCAAACTTAAGACCAGGCAAATTTCGTTTCAGCTCTAATTTAATGCAATATCTGTGTACTGTCATCTGTCCCTGAGTTGGACCCAAACTGACACATGTGCTGACTTTGGCCATCAGAGTACAATTCAATGCTTTCTGAAATCAATGAAAAGATATTCATTGGTTTCAATGGCTGTTGGATCAGGCCGTCAACGTTCTGCAGTACAGTTCTGAAACGCCTTCACTTCACCGAACCTGCCTTCATGTTTGCTGGGAATATAAACATGCAGCTTGCCATCAGCGATGTGCTTTTGCTGTATTGAGTTACCAAGTGTTAGTTTTGTTGGGTCTTTCCATAATGCTGTAGCTGTGATGAAATGTAACTCATAGAAGGTCTTCCCATAAGGCCCTATTCTGGTCACATGTTAGTCACATCTCATTCACTGCACTACTGGAAGGCGCCCAGCTAACGTGATGATGAGGGTGATATAAGAACATGAGTAGAACTAGGCAGTTCAATCTTTGACACATATTACTGTCCATTAAACTCTGAGGGATGTTCACCAGCTGAATAACTATACTGATTTTTACCTCCATCACTGCAGAAAGTAAGACCTTACAGACTGATGGTTAGTGTGCTTAGCCCTTATAGCTACTATTGATTTCAATGGGTGTTATGGATGGTCAGATCTAGAGCTGGTAACACTCCTCCCCCAAAAAACAACCAGAGAATTATTTTTGTGTGTGTGAAAATGCTCATGAAAAGAAGTCCATGCTTTTTTCTGAAAAAAAAAAAAAAAAAAAGAGAAATATTTCAAATAATTGATGCAGAACTGCAGAAAATCCAGCCCTTATTGCCTACATAGTTTGACTTTCTTCTACTGGTTTTGCCCCCTCCCCCCCAAAAAATCTGTATAACTATAATTATGTGCTCTCTCTCTCTCATTGTGTGTGTGTGTGTATATATATATGATTAGGAGACGATATTACCATTTTTACTGTCAACGTACTTGATGTAGTGCAGTGATTGCAAAACATAGACTTAACCATGGGGCTCAAATCCAAGGCAGCTATCGGAGCAAACAGAGACTCCAGGAGTGACATGATTATCTCATTAAGGAGAGTTTGACAAGATTCTTAGTTTTGAGCCTTTGTATCTCTAGGTCCTAAACTAAGGTTTTGAAGGCCAACATCGTGAAGCCACTTTCTGGACAGATCCCTCTCTTTTCTGAGGGACAGCTTTGTATTCCACCACTTCTAATGCATAGAATAGATTGAGACTACCAGCACTGGCAAAGAGTCAAACAGCATTAATAAAGATAATTGACTCAAAGTGATTTGCTTCATGTTCAACTTTGTAGCTCATTATGAGTGCTCATTGAAACAAAATATTTTTCATGTGTGTTTGTGACTTACAGCAATGATTTAGTTTGATTATGCAGTACAATATAGTCATAATTTTCATCTCTCTTTGACAGCTAAATCTAAATTAATACTCAGAAAAATTCCAGTGATAACATCAGAGTTGTCTCTGAAAGCGAGTAAGCATAGCACTGCAAGGCAACAAATTTCACACAAATTAGAAGAAAGAAATTATATGAAACCCAAATATAATTTAAATATTTCAGATGCTAAGTTATAATTTCCAAATCCTTGTCAAATGCACACAGCACCATTTCAGAGTGCAAGCTAAGATATTTTGATACAAAATCCATCATGTCCTTGAGAGAGAAAAATCATACTTCAAGGTTAAATAAACATAAAATAAAGTAATAGGCACTCATATAGTACAGTGCATCTAATTGGAGGACATCAAATCTCTTCGTATACATGAAGTAGGCCTCACAACATCACTCTAAGTGTTATCTCCATTTTGCAGGTGGCACAAGCAGAGCTGAGAGGTTCATTGACTTGGTACGGGTCACACAGAAAACAAGGTGCAAAATCAAGACTAGAGCTCAGATGCAGAGTTTACTGAAAATAGGACTGGTGTGGGGGGGTCCCCCATGAAAAATTGGCACCTTACAGAAAAACATTTGAAAGCTGAACACTTTCCGTTTTAAACTAAATATTTCAATATATAAATGCTGCTGCAGTGTCTCATGTGAATTGTACACTGGATACCCTCTGCGACTACTCTACTGTATGGGCCAAGTTCTCTGGCAAAACTGCATTTCTCAGGATGCCCCATGATCTCCCCTCTTCCTGAGTAAAGTCGTGCAACGTGGGAGACCCTGGCCATAGTGCATTATAAGAGATATAGTCCAAGCAGGGAACCCAGCCAACTTTCAACCAGGTCTAATGAGAAGTTCTAAACCTAGACTTATTACACATCTTTTCCAGCCAACTGCTAATCCAAGTGGGCTAATCCAGGAGGGCATATCTTTTTCAGACAACTGCTAAGCCAATAGCCCCCGAAGGGCTTCCACTGTCTTACACATGCTCTGTGGCTTTACACCACCATCCCCAAGGCCTGGTTGCCATGAATTACGTTGGTTTGGCAGAATCACAAATTATACTCCGGAGAAAGTGGAAAAACTGGATAACAGTGTGACTGCCAAATCTGTGACATCCCAGTGCACAGTAGAGATTGTGTGGAAACTGTTGCATCCGTAAATTCTCTCATGCAGAACTCTCTCAAAGATTTTCACTATAGGTGAAGGTAGATTTGCCATTGCTTCTAACTTTATCAAACATTAAGCATTTGGGTGGAAATTGTCCATGCTTTGTGTCTGCCTCACCCTTGATTTTTCAGAATTTTTTTTAGTCGGAATGGTTTATTTGTTTCTAAGAATAAAACTAGGGAAATACTTTGTTCTGCCCATGACAAACAAATTTGGCAACTCTTTCCTTGAACCGGTCTAGAGCCTCCACTCTTGATGTGAATAGCCTTCCCCATGAAAAGCCACCCAAATTTGGTCGCACCTTTCACAGCAAAGTCACTTTAATGATTGGAAGGGTGGCTGTTTGTTTATATCCATGTGACAGATGTGGAGCTGTAATAATGCTATGAATTCCACAATGAAATAATGTTATCAACATGGTAGGTGTCCTAGGCAGTGATGGGAAGTTATTGTAGAAAGGGGTAATAAGATTTTGCCAAACAAATGCATTGATTTAGGTCATAGAGGATTGTGGATAAGAAAAAACCAGAAGTCAACATAATGGTCCCAGCTAAGTAGCATTCCACCAGCCACTGGGGGACAATTGGAAGAGAATGGCATGTTTACGAGCCAACGTGATGCAATTGTTTTGCCAGGTTGGGAGAGTCAAGATCAAAAGGACAGTG